AAAGTTAAAGGAGAAAAGGTTTATTTGGCTGACTGTAGAGATTTTAGTCCATAATATGCTTGCTTCAAGGCAGGGTGGCATATGGCAGAGGGGCATCACAGAGGAGGAACAGTTCATGGTAGGCAGAAGGCAGAAAAAGCAGCAAGTGATAAGCAGTGACAACAGTAGCCCTCTTTCTGTCCCTTATGTTCTATCTAGGCTACATGCCCTTAGGGTGGGTAGCAATCATACTCAGGGTGGGGCACCCTTAATCCTAGCATCACATCCTTAATCCCAGCATCACACACTCTAGATCCTGCCACCTCCAAAAAGGCCCACTTATGGCTGCATGAGGCTTTGGGGGACATCTGGATATGGGCCCTTACACCAGGCTACATAGGGAGGAGAGAGGTGGGTGTTCTGGCTCACAGTCTCCATGAGTTCCCAGCCAGCATTCAGCTTCAACCACCAGATGAGTAAGTGAGTGGCAATACCTCTGGGTGATTGCTGCCCATGGCTGTTGAGGCCTCTCCACTTCTTGAGTCTTGCCAGGTAAAGCCCCGGATTTTGTGCAACAGGAGCAAGCCGCTCTACTGCATTTTCTTTATGTCCTAGATCCACAGAATCTAGGAGTAGGACAAAATCATTGTTTTAGTTAGGCTACCAACTTTTGGTGTAATTTGTTTGGAGCAATACAAACTGAAAAAAAATGTCCACAATGTGTTTTCAATTTTTCTTATCTTTCCCAGACTGAGAATAAAAACTCATTTTAATCTGTATTCCTTTGATTAGTAATAAGTTTGAATGCCTTTTTATGAGTATTAAGCAGTTATATCTTTTTACCTTGCTATCATTTTCCTGTTTTTTCCACATAGATTCTTTTCCTTTTGTAAGAAATTTTTATGCACCAAAAATTATGAACATTTCACCCCTGAGTTCCAAGTATTTTATCATGATCTATGTTGTTTCTAGTGTTATTTACTTGTACTCATTCTTTAAATTCAGAGCTTCAGTGCTTTTCTAGTTGATATTTCTAGGGCACTCATGTCTCTGTAATTCCAAGACAATTCAATTTATTCTATTTCTGTGTTTGAGAAGAGAGTGTTCCCTCACCTAAGAAAATGGTCCTCTATAACTTCTAACTTTGCTTATCATTTTATCACACTTTAATTAATGGAATAGAATAGAGGATGCAGAAACAACACCAAGAACATTCAACTTTTTGATCTTTGATAAAGGGACCAAAATCACACATTGGAATAAAAGCTTGCCTCGCTAATCAATGGTGCCTGGAAAACTGCCTATCCACATGCAGGAGATTGAATCTAGACCCATATCTTTCATCATTTACTAAACAAAAATCAAACTGGATGAAAGATGTGAATGTTAAAACAGAAACAATCTGCTGGAAGATAAAATAGGTAAAACTCTTGAAGACAAAGGTATAGGCAAGGACTTTCTAAACAGAACTCCAGTTGTACAAGAAATAGCACTGAGAATCAACAAACGGCATCATATCGAATTAAAAAGTTTCTGCACAGCATAAGAAACAACAAACAGTGTGAAGATACAGCCTAGAAATAGGGCAACATTCTTGGCCAGCTATTCCTCAGAAGACTAATATATAGAATATATAAAGATAAAAATGTATTTTCAAAAGTCATATTTTCATAAACTTTACATTTTTAAAATACAAAACCTCTTTAAAAAAGTGATTTAGTTTATTCTTAAGTGTTACAGTATAATATAAAGAATATAATTACCAGCAACTGTAAGCTACAGACTAATAAGTGTGATCATGGATCTTATAGATCAGAGTAAAAAGAATTTTTAAAAATTGAACAAGTATGAGGAAACTAAAAGTTAATTATGAAAATTTATTCTAGGAAAAATCCAAGTGAGGCATGAATTTCTACTGCTTTTGAACGATGAGATGGGGAAAATCTAGGTACAAGGAAGGTGGGAATTTAGAGAACAAAAGACCAAATATGGGCTATCACTGTATATGTTACATTGCAAAATGCTTCATTTTTTCTATTTTTATTTGTACATTACATGATGATTACATTCCTAGTGAGGAATTGGTACATGTACATAATATAGCTAATTCATTTTTAATCTTCTTCCTCTCCCCTCCTTCCCCTTCCTTCTATCTCTTGATCCACATCCCATTTGAAAAAGATCTACCTCCCTATTTCCTACTACCTAGCATTTATTTTGTTCTTTATTTATATATTGGGTTTCTCATATAAAAGAAACCACATGGTGTTTAAGCTTGTGTGTCTGATTTATTCCTATATATGGTAATAGCTGACATTTCAAAAAAGCCATTGGATAAGTGAAAAAAAAATGTTGATAAATATGAAAAGCTGCTTGCTTTTGACATTCAGCTATCCTGTAGGTCTAAATTGTCAGAGGTAGAGATGTATGAGTCATGATTGTTTATCTAGTGAAGGATTATAACTCAAAGAATAATTTAGGGTAGTGTTGTAGCTACTTTCATCATCCCTGGCACACGATACTCAACACCCACAAATTAGAAGAGGGAAGGTTTTTTATGGATCACAGTTTGTAGAGGTTTGAGTCCATAGTTGGCTGGCTTTAAGGCAGGGTGGCATAGCAGAGGAGGCTCATTTATGGCATGGCTGGGGAGCAGACAGCAAGATCAAGGGAGAAGGGAAGGAGATAGACTCTCCCAGGCCACGCCCCCAGCGACCCACCTCCTCCAATCAGACTTCACCTCCTAATATCACACTTACCTATAAATTATCAGTGAACAATCAACTGGTAAGTATCATACCCTCATGATCCAATCACCTCACAAAAGCCCCACCTATGGGTACATGAGGCTTTAGGAGAACATCTATATATAAACCATAATAGGTAGATAGACATACATAGTTCAATTTTTATTTCAAAATGTAGAAGCATAGTTTGCATTAAACATTGATAGTTGAAGATTACATTGAGTTTTTACTTTAAATCATGTGCAAGTGAATCTTTTTAAGAATATTTTTAAGTCTTAGTTGATTTACTTTCAGTTTTACCAAGAAGCAATTATAATTTTAAAAATATGATGTATTTTCTGCCTTTAAATAAGATGACAGGAATCCTAGATAGTGAGCCAGTCAGGCTGCCACAGTTAAGGTCCCACCCATTTACTTACTGTCATTTTATTCTAACTGCAAGCTAGATTCTTAGAAGAGCTGGCTATGTAAACAAACCCATAAAGTGACAGTATCACACTGAGAAAACCAGCAGCAACTGCAATAATTGATCCTCGGAGAGGAGGAATCCATCCATAGTGAAGCATGATCAATCAGCACATCATACTGGCTTCCATCACTAGGAATGTGATCAACAGTAAACTTTTTTTTTTTTTGTAATTTTATAATCCCTTTACACATAATACAACACTTGTTGATTTAAGGACATTTTTGAGACACTCAAATAGAATAATTTAAGCACTTTAAACATAAAGTATTTTCAGAAATAATGGCCAGAGAATTCTCAGTGCTTTTGACTTAATAAAGACACTACATCTATTGGGCATAGTTCATTTTGAAGAAAAAATGTTTTCTCAACACTATTACTGGGTACTTCTGGGAGCAAAGTAATATTTCAGTGCATGCTGCTTTGCATTTCTGTGATGCTTAATGATGTGAGAGCATCTTTTCCATGCTTATTGGTCATTTGTATATTTTCTTTGCAGAACTATCTATTGAGATCGTTGTCCAATTTTAAAAAAAACAAACATAGGTTTCTTTATTATTGAGTAGTGAGGGCTATTTATGTATTCTACATTTAAGTCTCTTACAAAATAGATGATTTGTATGTATTTTCTCATATTCTGGGGGTTATTTCATTTTCTTAAGAGTGTGCTTTGAAGCAAAGACATTTTTAAATAATTTTGACGAAGCCCCCTTAGCATCTTTTTGTTGCTGCTTGTGCTCAGGATCCTTCAGCCTCAGCCTCCTGGAGTGCTGGGATTACAGGCATGTACCTCCATGCTTGGCTTCTTCAACTCTTGTCTTCCCTGATTTTCATTAAAGAGTATGTCAACAGCAGTAGTTTACTTCATCACATCAGGCTGCCAAGGTGAAGAGGTGACCAGAAATTGAATTCCTGTTAGAGAAAGCTCTGGCTTGGAATGAAATATTTTGATATCTTGCTTGGCAAAAAGTATAACCACAAAGGTGTGCATAGAGTAAACATTTGTTTTGTTCTAAAAGAAGGAAAGAGAAAGAAGTGGAGAGGGAAGAGTGGGGTTGGAGAGAAGCTAGCAGAAGACTGTGTGCTCCATGACATTACCCAAATCTTCAAGTTAAAGTTGATCGATCTCTCAAAGTGCTTGGTGAATGAATTTTGCGTGGTATGTAAATAAACCACTGAAGAAGTCAAAAGTCGTGTGGGGGCCATTGTTGGAGGAGGAGGAAGGATCAGCTAGTCCCCATGAGCCAGTCCCCATGAAGAGGAATCCAAATTATTTAGGTATTAGCAGAAGTCTAAGCAAAATATTACCTTTCCTCGAGCTGCATGAAAGCAGCAATTCTACCCAGATTTAGGAAAGTTGGGCTAGGAGGATTCTCATTTAACTTCTGGGTGGCAGTTGTATTTCACCATGGTCTTCCTGGAAGTCCAAAGAGAAGAATGACTATTATATTGAAAATTTCAGGTAATTGTCCAAGGACATGTATGGGAGCAAGCAGGACTTCTAAAACTCCTCATTCAAAATTCAGCTCGCCTCTATCATGAACATTTTCACATATTAAGGTCAACTTAGAAAAAAATACTTGGCCTGAACCTTCAGGCTAACTTTGCTCCTGAGGGATTTTGTGTCCTTGGGTAATGTTATCTCTGTGCTTTACAAGAAACCTGTGAAGAGGGCCCTCTCCTCTTCCTGTGTTGCCTCCAATGGTGTGACCTCGAACCTCTGCCTCCCCAGGGCGGGGATACTTCGCAAGTCAGAGGAAAACTATCTGATCAGATATCCCCTTTTCTGCCCCTCTCTCCTGCTGCAGGGAAAGTGATCAACCTATACCAGGTACCAGCTACAGCTAACTGCACCTGCAAGAAGCTCAGAAAAGGCTTCTTCGAGAATGACTCAAAAGGTAGGAAAGCTGATATACAATGCTTTTGGATTCTCTCTGTTATTCCCAGCTGCTTTCAAATGATAAATTTTAAGGCTAGAAAGTAAAAGAAGAAAAAGATCTGAGACTCTTAGGTTCTGAGATCTGTATCTTGCATTTCTGCCTGTGGCTCAGGAATCCTGCTGGTTGACTTCTAATTTGCACAAGAGATTTCTTTTTAGAATTTAAAAATGTCTATGGCATTTCCCAGTTCTTTTGTACTTATGTAAAATATGTTAATTTACCTTGTGGCAAGTAGATGGCTTTAAATTTAAATTCTATGGGAGAGAAGAACTAGAAGAACTACTATTACAAGGATAGCAGTTTTTACAAATACAGTACATAAACTCACATAGTTTTAACCAAATTTCTGTAATATTGTAAGTGAATCATTATCAGTCTTCAAAAAGTTTATAAAAAATATTCCCAGTGAAGTTTTTTTTTAATCATCATGGGATTTGTCCTATAAATCAGAAATCAGGATAATAAATTGCCAGAATGTATAAACAACTTGGTAAGTGTTCACTTTGAAATTTTTTTTAATGAAGACATAGAAGATATTGTTCCTGTGTTCAGTTTTCATTTTAGTTGCAGGGAGGAAACAAAGTGTAATCCAGGATAACAGTCTCTGACCTGAAAGGGATCCTATTACAGAATCATCAGTGCAGGCTAGGATTATCATGGAAAGAGGGATTTGAATGATATAAAAGATTTGGAAAGGTTTTTTGTGAAAAATAATCTTTAAGATGTCTCAGTTGAGGTAGTAATATTGGAGCATTTGTAGAATAACGGGTGCCAACCACTGTTGAGTGGAATGTCTGTCTGTTTCTAGCAGCAGAGGGTGATGGTTTGGATGGTAAGGAAGCACTAGGTCCATAAGCACTTCCATATACATGAAGAATCCTATTGAAGTTATTTAATAATTCTGAGGATAGATTATTCCCATATCAGATACCACCATCTCTGCTGCTACTTAAAGACATTATGTGTTGGTGGAGCCAGCAATTCACAGGGCTTATTTAGTAAAACTCCCATAAATACTTTCAAATTTGCTCTACCCAAGCCAGAATGTTTCCTTTTTCCCTCATGGAACTACTGGATATAAAAGAGTAGGGTTTAATTTGCTGACAAACAACCAGGCATACAGAAAGGTTAGTGGGCCAAATCCAGGATTCTTGGTGAACATGCGGTTTGGACCTGAGATTAGAGGACTTTCTCTTTTTAAAAATAAAAAGTTCAGAATTAAAAATATCAGAGCTCATTACTTAGGTTAACTATCTCATTGACTTGTTTATAGTACAAAGATACAGAAGATTTCTTAAAAATTGTGTTGCCCCTGATTCCTGACGAGGAACCACAGAATTATTCTCTTCAGTGTTTATTTTCCCAATGTTTATTTTCCCAATGTTGCCATCTTCATAGCTACAGTCTCTGTGGTGTTGAATCTCCATGGAGAAGTTTCGTTGAGAGTCAAGACTTCTGGGGGTTGCCCTAATTAGAATCTTTAAATCAATTTTCTTCATTTTACACCAAGGGAGAAAATATGAGTTTGGGTTTAGTTTAACAATGTTGAAGTTTTAACTGGACACACAGAGCCATTTCAGTGCTTGAAGGTTATTTTTTAGTCAGCTTCCCTTCTGAGCTCCTACTGTTTGAACCAAAGGCTAGACAGGCTGACAACGTTCTCCAGGAGACTCCTCTCCATCATGAGTCAGAGACCAAGTTCTTCTTTAGTCTGAGATTACAGTCTCTGTCTTAGTCCCATGAGTCTCTAACTAGGCTGCAGTTTGTTCTGGCAATGAATATTGTCCCAAGCCAGATACACTTTTGCTTTTTAAATTGATGTTCCTCGAGAGAGAAATGCTTTCCTCTTAAGCAGAATCTATTTTAGGTCTTATGAGAGGAGACCTATGTTTGTTTCACTGAGACAACTAATTTTTTAAAACCTTATTTGGTTGTTCTTTACTAATGAGCTCCTTAGCCATAGTTTTCAGTCTTTTAGATGGCACTGAATTTTTGTCAAAGGGAAGATTCATATCACCAGTTTAATGGGATTCATCTGGCTCTGGAATCATTCAAGAGTAATTCACTCAATTAGTGCCTGGCAGTTAAATTGCTTATTTGTTGGAGTCTGAGAAAGAAAATTTAAACTCACTAGCAATTTGACTTCTAAAGAAGACAAAGAAATTATATACATTTAGCTTTGATGGTATTATTATTGCTATATTATGAATCTCCTTAGTATTAGTAGCTGAAGAACCATGTGGAATACTAAATAATAGCATTGTATGCCATTTCTTTGGATATAAATATGCTACTATAAACATAGATAACAAATATTGCATTCAGTTCTAATGATAAATGTACTAAAATTAAATGACTGTTGATTAGAATACTCCTACATAATTCTTATTTAATTAGGTCAGTGGGCAGCCTTTAGAATCTATCAGAGTGCATTTGCTTAGAAAGAACTATCACTGTGTGTGTGTGTGTGTGTGTGTGTATAGTTGTAATAATATTACAAATAAACTTTGGCTGCCAATATTCATCATTACATTTTTGTTTTGTCCAACCATCCTTAGAATTTTCCTTTCACTGAAGCAAAGGATTATGAAGAAGGTTCTGAGTTGATTTCAGGAGCTGTAGATTACACGGTCTCTGCCTCTATTGAGGTGTGACTTTGTGAGGGCTATTTTTCTTCTCTAAATCCTACTTTCATCACCTATAAATTGTAGTGATTCAGTTCATGAACTGGAGCTATTCCAGTAAAAACATGATCTCATGGTCAAGAACATAGTGTCAGTAGAGGGTGAGAGAGAGACCAGTCTTTGAGCAAGATAACTTCAGATGGGTAACGATATCATCAGGTAGGAATGAGTGCTTGAAGAGCATGAAGAGGTGCTCTGCATCAGACAGTGACCAAGGAGGACTGTCATACTTTGTGAAAGGTTAAGTTTTGGTGACGAGTGATACTGGAGCTGCTATTCAAATGACAAGGGAAGCAAGGCTTTGCAGAGCTGGGGAGAGGAACAGCAAGTGAGAAAACTCTTCCTTCAGCAGACCAAATGTGGCTTGTTTGGGAACAGTGAAGGGCTCAGTGCTCATGGTGCAGTGAGGAAAGGGCAGAAGTAGAAGACTTGGAAGTCAGAGAGGCATTGTGGCTGAGCTTGTAGGAACTTGATGGCCACATTAAAAAGTTCAAGTTTTATTCTAAATACATGGGAAGGCAATGGAGCATTTTGAGTAGATAAATACTGGCTGATTGTATTGTATAAAGAATTTCCTGCCTAGTCTATGAGATAATGGACTACAGAAGGGCAAGATTGGGAGCAGGGTGGCTGCGAGACTTGTACCCTAAAACCAATAACAAGCAGCAAAGGTGAACTCTCATCAGTATTCCTTTATTTTCAAGGATGCAGATGTATCTCTCAAGAAAAGTGCTGAAATCTACATGCACAGCAATGCAAATTCTGAGGAGATTCTTAGATATCCTAAAGTATACCCATGGATTATCATCAGCAAGGAGTGGACACACTATAAATTTCTTAAACTATGTTTAAATGTTTTCTAAAAGTGATTTACATTTTCTTTGCATATCTAGATTACCATGAAAACCAAAGAAAAATGAAATGTAGGAAAAGCAAATTTGTTAAAAGTTCTTTCTGGTCTACAACTTGAGGTATAACTTGATTCTTCTATTAATACATACACCACTCCTTATTTTTGTATATGTGAAAGTATAATGTCATTTTTTAGGTCTTAAAGCATTTGAACAACAATTCCATGATTATTGATGTCCAAATGTTTTAAAATCTAGATTGATAACTGCCCATTTTTGAAATAGAAAATATTAAAAAGATAAAGAATACTTCAGTGGTTTTGATGAAATAAAAGTCCTTTCATTATAGTCCTCTTCCTTTAAGTGCACTAAATAATAAAAGACTAACAAATAGAACTGATCACTCCAAAGGATTAATTTAACAAAATATAGAAAAGAAAATCCACATTGAGTGAAGAGAGAAAGAAAACATTCCTACAAAGCTAGATTACAAAAGCGATATGCTAAACAAAGTGAAATGTGGACTGGGAAATGTTTTAGACCAGTAACACCCTAGCTCCTCTAAAACCACAGCCAGGTGATCAGCACACTCTGTAGGGACTGAATTAAAGGCAGTAAGAAATAGGAAAAGTAGAAGATACAGCCACCCCATCGCAAGAAGACAGCTGTAGCTCAGACGCAGCCAATTTTTACGGTGCAAAAAAGTGCCATTAAGGATTGACAGATCCTCTGACTTTGTTAGAAAAGAAGCTTGAAATTTAGATTTTCATATGAAGTGTTCCTGTCTTTCAGAAACTGTGTGGGCCAAACAAAATTATATCTGCCAGCTGGGCTCCATCTGTGATCTGCCAGTCTATGATCCCAGCTCAAAAAGTGTCATAGTTCTTAAAGGCCCATCTAATGATTCTTTGATTGAATTGTTGAGATCTAGAATGGGAAGAGAAATGTCCCTAGAGGTGTATCTACTTCCATATTATAACAAGGTAGGGAGGTGGAATCATTTATGGCGAGTCTTCACACAGGATTGTGAGATGGGGAAGGTGAGAGGGCTCATTAGCATAGGTGGACAGACTTTCTGGGGCTGAATGGGCTCAGTAGTTTTCTCCCTGTACTTCACAATCTGAGCCCTGCAGTCTGTGGCAGGTACAGAGGATAAGGCATGAAGTACAGGCGGTTTAGCTGAGTGTTGGAGACAAACCCAAACTGAAACTGGAACTACTCCAGCTCATTCTCCTCCTCCTCCTGATTCTGGAATAAAGCTGGCCTGGGTGGGACTGCTGTAGAGATGATTAATAACCAGAAGGGAAGCATCATAGCATTTCTGTACAGACATAGCAAACCTGAGTGAACCACACAAACGTCTGCTTGCCATAAATAAAGGAATAGAAGCAGAAGACTAACATACCTTAGACCAGGAGGCCTCTTGCAAGTAAAAAAGAATTCAAACAGATTCTTCTTCATTGTCTCAAAGAAATTAAAGGTGACAAATACTCTTCAAAACAAATCTCGAAGAAGAAATAGAAAATATTTAAGAAAAATATGTTAACAGGAAAGATATGGGGCTATATATTTTCTTCAAAAATCACTAAATCAAACCCTTATTTCCCTGACTGCAGTGTTTTTCCTTGTAGCTAACTTGCCCATTCTTTTCACAGAGACCACACTCTTCAGACAAATTTCAGTCCATCGACACATCCATTTTTTCCCACCTATAGCATTTTTCATTCCTTCCTCCTCAGGTGACGTAGATTTTACAGGGTATTGTTTCAACAATGCTATTAAATTCGCTTTCCTAAGAAAAAAATTATTTTCTGTCTTTTGTATTCAACTTCTGCTGTTCAACAGGAGATCTTTGTTTTTAAAAATATACTCAGTTTTCTTTTATTAAAACTACAGTGGCTACAGTCAAAAATGCCAGTGTCCACTCATGCCTCTAGTCTCCAGGTCTTCCATTTCCTGCTCTTCTGTTTCCTGTTTCTCACATTCTTTACTTGATTCTTTCCAGATTATTCCTGAAAGGTCACCGAAGAAGGGGGGCACACAAGGACGTTCAAGCAAGCTTTATTGGGGCGGCAGTCGCAGCCTGCCAGGCTGACTCACAGAATGGAGACCAGCAACTGTACGGGCTGAGCTGGAGGCTTATATAGGGATCTTGCAGGTGGGAGAGCACTAGGCCACTGGTGGGGGTGGGTGAGGGGCTGGGGTGTGTAACAAGAGGTTTCGGTCGGGGCGGGGGGGATGGAGTAACTGCTCTTGGGAAGCCCCTGTCTCACTGGAACATCTGACTAAGAAACCGGTGGGGCAGAAAGACCTTAACTAGGCAGAAAGTCACTAACAAAGGGAGGTCGTGCCTTAGCTGTGCGGAGGTTCCCTGTTCCTTGTGGCCAGAGTGGGGTAAAGGGAAAGGAGAGGAGGGGGCTTGCTCTGTGGGGGCTCTGAAATACCTAACAATTCCCACCTGCCCACCAGACTGCTTTTACAAAAGACCCAATGACCTTTTATGTCAGTCCACCGAGGTGACATTTCTCAGTCCACTTTTCCTCTCAGTTGTCTATTCAACACTGCAGGCCACTGCACCCACGTGGAACATTCTCTTCTCCTAGCTTCTTAAACGCAACCTACCTTTTGTCTTCCCACCACTCCTGCTTCTGCTCCTTTGTTTCTCTTGTGGCTCATCCTTTTCAAGCAGCCAGTGAATGTAGAAGCCCTGCAGGTCCATCGTCATTCCCTAGCTGAGGGCAGCAGCAATCACTGCTCCTTCGGTCGTGGTTCCTACGCACACTGATGCCCTCAGGTCCCACACTGCCAGCCTCGCCTCCTCTCCACTGCCGCGGCCTCCTGGACTAGCCTGCTTTGTTCCCCTGCAGGCCCTTTTATACATTTCCTTCTGGCTGGGGCCATGCTCTGCAGGCAACCTGTGATGAAAAACCAGTTGTTTGTTAAATTTCTAATCCATCAAAGACTGATACTTTTATAAGTACAATAAAAATGAAATAGTGGAAAATGAGTAAAGGAGACATAAAATACAAGCCCCACCTCTTATGAGATTCAAAATATATAAAATTACTCTGTCCAGTTGCTCTAAAAACTTCTAAATACTTACTGTTCGTTACTCTCCTGGTGTTGTTGAGGAATGGGAACAGAGTCCCAAGTAGGTCTGGTGACCCCAGTTTGAATAGAACTCCTGTCCCTTTTGCCTTTTACACCACATTTTAACTGCAAAATCTAATTTAGAAAAACTTTCTGACTACCCTAAGTCAGTCAGATCTACTATTAATCTTCAGGGCCATATGCCTGTCCACTGGGGCTTGTGTGTGTTTCCTTGTGGTGCTGGGCATGGAAATTAGAAGCTTGCACATGCAACTCAAGCATACCACCACTGAGCTATATCCTAAACCCTCTGCTACCTTTAATAATGCTTACATTAATAATGTTTGCAACCTCCATGTAAGGCCTGTGGAGTCAAGAACCAGGTTTGTTATTTTTGTGCTCACTGTTATATGTTAGCACCTTGTAGATAGCTACAACATAATGTAAATTCAGAATCACTTCTTCATTTTGTAAAGAGGACAGGCACATGAAAGAATTAGAATCCAGGGACAATTGATAACTCTGCCCCCAAATTATGGCCAAATTGACATTTGAAATGTGGTTTCAGGTGGAGATGGTGGGAAAGAATATTTTAAGTGAAGATATCGAGGCATGATAAAGCACAGATGCACAAAAGTGCAGAAGTGATTTAGGACACGGTATTTGGAGTGCCTAGTGAATGAAGTATGCTAGGAGGGCAAAGAGGGTTGTGATACTGGAGTGTGGGAATAAAGATGAAAAGAAAGACTGTGCAAATTGTCAAAGTCCTCAGCTGCCAAACTAAGGAGATTATGTTTTGACCACTTCTAGGTAGAAAGTCATTCTTTCCAGTCTACTCAGAGCAGCACATTACATAAATGTTAGCAATAGAATTAAATGATGAAGGCTGGGGATGCAGCTCAGTGATAGAGCACTTGCCTAGTTGCATGAGGCCCTGGATTGATAACTAGCACCACAAAAGAAGACAAAAAACATGTTTTGACCTGATTTTTTTATTAAGAAAACTGGTGGCAATGTGGAAGTGAGATTTAAAGGATAAGTGCAGGAGGTTCTTGGAATATTCTGCTTCATAACTCTGAATGGCCAAGAGTTGGACTGGGGAAGCCTGATGGGGAGGCATTTAGCAGGTAGCAATTCCAGGGTGAGGCTCCCATGACTTGGAGGTCTGAGCATGAAAAGGAGCCATGATGAAGTCATGTTTCCTGGCATGGCAGCATTGTGACCTTCTGCTTTATTGCTCCAAGTATCTGACCACAGCAGTTTCTACCTAACCAGAATATAGGAGTGAGTTTGTTTTTAAGAAAACCCTTCTTAAATGGTAGTTCTAACACAAGTAACGTTACCTTGTCTGACTGGAAATGGTAACAATGATACTTATGCTTCATCCTCAGAGTGGGACACACATCTTTATCAAAGATCATTTTCTCTGGATAACAATAGGCAATGGTAGTCTTTTATGCTTGGATGATAATCACGTATTTTTACACTGACCTGAGGTTCCATGGCCTCTAAAGTTTCAGCATCGTAGTTGTGATATGGAACTTCTCAGGTTTTGGAGAAGTTGTCCACTGTTCCCCTCAAATCTCAGCTGTGCTGGGTCACTCATTCTGACTTTCATCAGCCAGCAGTGGGTGTCCTGGTACCAAGCAAGGAAAAAAGAGGTAAAATATCATTTAGAAGGGCAGAATCCAGGGTGGCATGGGAATCAACAAACACTGAATGTGGTAAATAACACCGCCTCCAACTCAGCTTTCCAAGATAAATTATCACGACCTTTGGATTTCCTATCCATGGCTATTTTGTACATGCCTTTTATTAAAAGTGGCCACATGCTCAGTTCAGTTTGTGCAGCATATTTTATATATAAATATCTTCACCATCATAATCTTCATGGATATTGTATGTGAATCTCATTCAGTCTTTGGCATAATGTGTTGTACTGGTTTTTTAAAGAAAGAATTAGCATTAGCTTAACTCTTGTGTGGGACACCTTTCATGAGAACTGGAGGAAACAGGCTAAAAGGAAGGCAAAGGCATTTGCAACTTCAAAGGAAATTGTTGTGGCAAAATTTGACAGAAACAAATGAGTTCTTTCAGCTTGGTGTGGCACTGAGGAATTTACTGTGCCTTGCTTAAGTGTGATAGTCTCTGCTACCTTCTCTGTGTCTGGGTGGAACCAAGTCTGAATTTGTCTCCTTACACAGGAATTGCTAGACTTTAAAACAATGAACTAAAGGTGGAGGGAGCAAGAGACAGAACCTAGGAGTCCCTAGGGAAAAGTTGAGTCTCTTACTCTTCCTTATTTTCACCCCTGAATTTCTGTTTGCAGAAATTCTTTGTGAACCCATGATAGTTCTTCAGATTTCTTCTATAGCAAAATGAGGCCTTTGCTTTAACATCATGCTGCTTCCAGATGAAGACCAGTCCTTAAAAGTAAACAAAGCAGCTCCTCTAGTGTTGGGAGAAAACAGTACTTTCCTGCCTTTGATCTCTAAGAAGAGAGCCAGCAGATTAGGTTCTCATGGGTTGGCTGTGGACATTAATGCCTACGCAAAGTCGAGGGTGAAGGAGACAGGTTGTTTCTACTCCTCTCCCCATTTCTCTGTAGCACCAGCTACACTGAGCAATGGATGAGTTTGTGTCATCAGGGCTGGGTCATTTCTGAGAGTAGAGGCAGAATGCATAAAGGTATGAAAAGAGAAGGTCATGGTGGCCTTCATATATGTGCAGGGAATTTTCCTTATTCATTCAGCTAATCAGAGTTAAAACTTAATATTAAAGTAGATAAGAAACGTGGAGAATCCAGACTCAATAAACAAGTCATACCTTTTGATCTAGGGATAGTTTATCTAAAGCAAAAACATGAAACATCTCTATCAGGAAAGGTAGAAAACCAAGTTCTCCATCTCTTGACATTCTCAATTAGAACTGGACAGTTCTCTCACAATACAATGCATGAGTCAATAATCTCTTCCTCTGTGGCCTCAGACACTCGACCATCTCTTTGTTCATAGGCACTTATCACAATGTATGTTGCACTTTCTTCTCCTGCTTCATCCTTCTGAGGGTAAAGGCTTCTTTCCACTCATCTTTATGTCCTCAGGCCTTTATGGGGAACAAAGGCCAGAATTTTCATTCTGTAAGTATTTGTGGAATTAGTTTAATTACACAGACTGCTCTCCAAAGCTCCTCAAGGGATATCAAATCCACTTGTGTTGTTAATAACTCTGTGGCCTCTTTGTAGGAGATGTGATTCAGATACTATCTGGCAGTAGAGCTTCTCATCTCTGATGACTCATTCTAAGCATTCGGTTCAGTCTCAAATATCTATAAGTCTCTGCCCTAGCCACTTGGAGCCCACAGTACTATGCAAAGCAATGTGCATTTCTACGCCTAGGGAAGGTAAGCCTACTGAAGTTCTATGACTGGTCTAATTAACTTGCTGATAATGGAACTCAGAAATTATATACCACAAATTATGCTCATCTTGTGCTCTTTGTATTAGGAGTGATATGACTGGCAGTCAACATTACCAGTCATGACTGCCAGTCGCATTAGTCTTCATTAGCATTTTTGTGTGATTGTTTTATTAATGTTAATTTTCCTCAGTGAGATGTATACTCCTTGAGAATGGAAACTATGCCACTTATCATTCATGACTCTTGTGATGCCTTAACAGTACCCACACATAATGGTCACTCAACTATTTTCAGAGAAAGAGAAGATAAAGAAGGACAAATGATAGCTGACTTTGGTTCAAATATTTGTTTCATTTATCCATTATCTCTCTTCCAAATTAAACCACTTGACATCCTCCCATGTTATAGAATTCCTAAAGTCTTAATTGTGCTTAAAGAGAGATTTTCTCCATTATTCTCTACTAGATATGCATATCACTTAAATACACTAGCATTTCCACCCCCGCTGAGTTTCCACTTTCCATAATTTCATTTACTTGTGGTCAACCACACACCAAAAATATTAAATAGAAAATTCAAGAAGTAAACAGTTTTAAATAATTTCTATTATGGAATATTGTTATAATTATTTTATTGTTACTGTTAATAT